AAAGGCCTTTACGTAATTCACCTGTAAATGTAATAGTTCTTGATTAAAGGCCTTTACGTATTTCTCCTGATAATGCAATATGTCACGATTAAAAGTTTCGCATTTTACCTCAAAATGTAATAATTCATCATTCAATGCTTTTACGCATTTTACCTGAAAATGCAATATTTCCTGATTAAAGGCTTTTAACAATATGATATTGTTCGCAGTATAATGCTGAAAATGATCTTCTATAGATATAAAAGTTTTTTATTTTTTATTTTATTTACTCAAATATTGGATCTCTAATTTACGCCATCAGCCTTTACAGAATTTACTTTTTTTTTTCATGGTGTCTTCAGTGTTTTTAATTAGCATTATTGTTGGTGTTATTATACAAAAAAAATGTACGTAAAATATATTAGTTGTTGTTTTTGATCATCATTAGCCTGGTCATTTTGTTTCGATGCATCCTAATTTTTTATAGGGAATTTTAATTTTCTCTCTCAATATTTTTTTTTATTATTATTAGCAAAGCTGCATATATGAGTAAAAATCTGATCTAAAAATGAATTACAATGATTTTTATTATGACAAATATTCTGGTTGGTACCATTTTTTCAACAATCTCTAAGAAGCATACCTATATTCTTTCTCTGTAAATATTTTTCCTCAGAAAAGGATTTTTTGTGAGTTTAACCCTGTTTTTTTTTTTTAATCTGCCATGATATTTGACTAAACAGCAATTCAACTGTATTCAGTTCTTTTACTGTTGGATATTTTATGCCTTTTCTTTTTTTGAGTCATATTTTAGCCAAAGAGAAGTTAATAAAGCATGATAGTATAATACCCCCCCCAAAAAAAAGAAAATCATGATAGTGTCATCCCCGATCCCCTCCCCCAAAATAATGACAGTATAATAACCTCCGTTATTTAACGTATAAACACAAAATATATTAAATAATTGTCGGATTTAATCTATATCATAATATGTTGTCATTGTTTACGTTAAGGTACGTCTCTTAGTCAGAAATGATCGTTCAGGAATGATCGTCGAATAATTATAGTTTAAAAGACATTAATTTGGACGTTGCTAACCAGACGCTTCCCTATAGCTAAGTGGTATAACACGTCAGATCAAATATCGGTTTAATTTTTTTTATTATACTTTCACAACTTCCGGATAAGATGTTGAGTATTATGTTCGAGGTTGTCTGAAGTTCATTTTTTTTTCTTTAATTTGGAAAAGTATAAAAAAAACAGAATTTACTTAAATAAATTGTATCTATTGAAAATAACGTATAAAGAGAAAATATATTAAATAATTGTCTGACTTAATCCATATGTTGTCATTGTTTACGTTAAGGCACGTCTCTTGAGCAGATATGATCGTTCGAGAAAGATCGTGTTTATAAACAATTAATTATTTTATTAATTTGGACTTTCGTAGTAGGTACCCCAGCTATTTTCACTACAGAAGACTATCTGCGTAAGCATATACCTTATAAATGATAAGAAAGTTTTATTTTTTTTAGAAAAGATTTTTCTATAATTAAAAAATTGAAATTTTGTGATTATCACTGACGACACTGCGATTAACACATGTCGCTGCGTGTCACTTATTTTTAATTTATTTATTTGAAAATAAAAATGCATATTTCTTCGTCAGAAAAAAAAATATTACGAATGTTTCCTGTTTGAAAAGCAAAATATGTTTGCACTTATGACCTTCCTTAGTGAAAATTGCCACTGGTTTAAAATAATGAAAACGTTTTCACCGAAAGTTTAGAAAATTCAAGTAGCATTTTACTTAATCATTGGTTATGTACGTGATTATATATGTGAAAGTGTGAGTGAACATAACAAAACAAAATTTTAAGAAATGTTATTTTCCTTATGAAATTAGGCGTGACAATGAGAAAGAGGAAACGGGGGTAGTTTTCCCATGACTAAGTTATAACAAGTAAAGGAAATCTGTTAAACAATAACTGGCTGTGCTGGAGGCCTACATGTCAAAACGAAGGGGAAAAAAGAAATATACGAGAATCTCAAAGAAGAAACGAGAAGATATATGAAGTGAAACCTAGGTCTGTGTCTAAGAAGATGAGAACGCATGAATTGGAACTGTCCTGACCATATCTTTATTCGGATCTGCAAGGATACTGAGGAAAGTGCTGGATGTTTAAGGAGACTTGCTGGCATTCAATCGCGTAAGATATTTTGTGTTAACATGCAAAATTAGGAAATAAAGACGAATAAAAAAGTAAGAAGAGAATTAAAAGGGAAGTATAATAGACGAAGAAGACGAATAATGTTCTAGAATGTTTAATAAAGAAGACGATATCGTAGGATAAAGAAAGCAAGTAAAAATAAATAACTGAATGAAGAACTCGACAGTGTTGCTAATAATAGTAATAATAAAAGAGAAAGGAGAAACAATAATAAATGAGTAAACAAAACAAAAAGAAAGAAGAATAAAACAAGGGAGGGAACTCGGAATGAGAACGAAACTCCCCGACAT